GTGGGGTGCCATAACGTGAAACCACATCAAAGGTGCTAAATTCTCTTCAGACAGAGCCCGCCTTTGAACCTAAGCTTGATTACCTAATAGGGTGTACTGGAAATTATTCTTTGAATCGAATGCGCCTCGGCCTGACACTTTTGTTTAAAGTTTACTAAAGCTGTTATTAGAATAACAATTCATTTACATATTTCCAATTTACATGACACAGTCTATTATACATTAAAGGCATTCTATTTACATGACATGCATATATATATATACAAAACATTCATTCCCCTTCTTTTCCTTTCCTCTCTTTCTGTCTACTTCATCTCTCTCTCTCTCTATCTCTCTCTCTCTCTCTCTCTCTCTCTCTCTCTCTCTCTCTCTCTCTCTCTCTCTCTCTCTCTCTCTCTCTTACCCTCTTGTCATACACTTGAAGAATCATTCTTATTTCATATACATTGCTTTGCTATCTTTTAAAGCAAAATATTTTTCCTGCCTTGTTGTAGGCAAGGAACATTTACAAATATAACAACATTATTGCAATACATGTTTCAATATGCATTGGTAACTTTGTAGAATGAGGTTGGGAGTGTAGTTCTTGAATTCATATACCGCTTTACACCTACATTTCCATATCATAACTCTGTATTCTGCTAGTGCAGTCACGGTTATCTGTAGTGTTTTGCGGTAGTATGTTTAGGAATATGGCCTTGTATATGTCAGTGGATTGTTTGGTGAAGGTATCCATTACATCTTGTAAAGTGTGTAGTGTGCTTTGAGTTGTTTGACATTGGAAGAAAAGATGGTCTTCTGTTTCTTCTTTGTTTTGTTTACATGGCTGACACGGCAGTTTTTGTCTGTCTTTATATCCATTTGGTGTTATATTGTAAAATATTCTGTATGTTACTTCCTTGGCTCTGTGTTTCATACATAGTCTATGCAGGTTTGTGAAGGCCTCTGACATATTTTCTGCTGGGTATCTTTTGATATCTGGGTTCCTAGTGAAAACTCCGGAAGAATTAAATGGACAGGTACTGACCTATATCCCCACAACGAGGACGGGAATTAAAACTGGGTCAATAGCCTGCAAAGATGCAGACGTTAACGCCAGTAGTAATGGGAGAAAGGAAACAGACACGAAAGTGTTTACTGAGTGTCAACCATTTGGATGAGGATCGCCCGAACACAAGTCACATAAATGCCGTTGAGGAGGTTATATGTAGGGCCCTGACGACAGCCGGGGTGGGGCTTTAAAATACAAAAAAAATAGTTCGATGTTAGTCTCATCAGATCCAGCCCATATACACACTAGCTCACTTCTGATTGGTAGTTCCTGAGCCCCGTGACTTCGCACACGGTTACGGGGGTGTTCCGCAATGCCGTTGATATCACGTGTTGTATATTTCAGCACGCTATCGCGCTTAACGCTCCAAAAACATGGAGAAACTGGGTCTAACACAACTCCCCTAGAGAGTGCCACAACCTGTGTCACAGGCATTCTCTTTCTAGGAATGAAAACGTAAATGCAAGACATCGCAGAAACCAAGTAACAGAGCGTGACACACCCGTAACCTTCAGGAAAGTCGACCAGCCCAACAAATTTGTGAATAAAAGGTGACCTACTCTATTTGGGAAGACTAACGTCGAACTAACCCAAAAAATTGCATCCTGTATTGGGTCGAGGATTAGCTGTTTAACCTCTTCATTTCGACTCTCCCGCTTTCCCTGCTTTACCTGTCGATTTTGTGATATCACAGTATCAGATACAATCTTAGACGTGTCTGTCGTACACCGTTTTTTTTTTAACAGTCTCGAATATTCCAACTTCTTCTAGGCTCGCCCTTACCGGACAATTTGAGACAACATTTTGCGGTTTGTGACTAGGCGTCGATATCTGCGCCTTTTAGCCCACTACATCTGATTACGGTAAATACTCAAACATTCTCCCTTCACACAAGTTTGTTAATCTGCAGTGGATTTATTCTCTGCCATCCCCCAAAAGCGCCGTCCGTGGCTTGGGCGTTGCGACTCAGACTTGTAATTCCAACATACAGCGATCTAAACCCATTGCTGGCTTCGAGGATTTTTATCATGGGATGGAACGTTGAAGGTCGACCTAGCTTAAAATGGGTACCAGGGTAGCTGTCCTAGGGAAGTCAAGACGGTAAGCGTAATGCTGAGTACATTACCCACCTAGTGCCGATGGCCTGTAGAATTATGACCGCCCTTCCCATATGCCCGATACGCCTACAGGCGTGAAAAAGGATCTTTACTTTACTACTATCCCCCCTCCCCCCCCCCCCAAACGGGGCCCCGGCACTCAACCATCGCTCCATGACTTTTGTGTACATAACAATGTATTGATTAGCACTCATATAAAGAAGTAGAAAGATAGAAGGACACACTAGACAAGATACAATTTGAAAGCTATAGTTACGGTGCCAGGAATCGAACCTGTCACCTGAAAATGGCGTGGTCGCCTCGCTATAGAAAAAAAAAAAAATGTACGAAGAACACGACCAACTAGGCACCCCTAAAAAAAGTGTCTTCTGTAAAAACTTTAGAAGTAAAGGATTGGATTGGATTGGATTTTTTACCCCACCAGGACATCACACAAGCGCTAAACACCAGATGACACAAAGTGCCACCATGCGGATGAGGATCACCGTGGAGAGGTCCCAGAAACCGCGTTCAGACATTTGGCCATAATGATGACCTGCCTATATTGCGGCCCCTGGCAAAAGCCAGAGTGGGGCTTCAAATAACAAAAAATAACGTCCTAAGAAGGACGAAAAAAAAAAGAGAAGTAAAGGACCCTTTTCCACGCTTTTATCCATTTGAGGCATATAGGACCAGACCTATATTTTAAGGACGAGTCGGCAATTGGTGGGTGATCTGAATAGCATCATGCTAGCTGCCTTTACTTCCCAGGACATTGCCTTATTCCCACTCAACGCCTGGTCCACCTGGGAGCTAAAGTCATTTTGAAAAATGTCCGGCTTCGTCAGGACGCGAACCTACAACCTTCCGATCCGCAGGCGGGCGTCTAGCCGCTCGGTAAAAACTGCCTTTAAATAGAAACCTTACATAAAGTTGTTTCCTGCTTGTCTACTTCATTATTCAGCTGTAATTTATCAGACGGAAGTTATCAGTCAAACATTAGTCGATTAATCAAGGAAATTATGATAACATAAAAACGGTTGCACTGATCATCATCATCATGTAGCAGGTCCTTTGCAGAACGTCGCTCTCATCACGGTCTGCTTGAAACTCGGTCTCTCGCCAGCTCTCCCGCCTCATGTACTTTCATACTCAAAGAGTCACTTATATCCTGTGCCCATCTTCGTGTCGGTCGGCACCTGTCCCTCCTTCTTTGTACCATGCCTTCCGCTATAATTTTTTTTCTAATCCGTTGGGGCGCTTGATATGTTCAGCTCAGAGAAAGAATGCAATCTTCCTTGATGTTCAGATCTTTCAACGTATCAATATTTCTCATCTTCTTTGTCCAAGATATTCTGAGAATCTTTTTATAGCGTTACAGCTTAAAAGCCCCTATTCTCTTTCTTAAGGACTGAGATAGTCCACAACTCACATCCGTATGTAGCCACAGGGAAGATGCATGTTCTCAGAATTCTAATTTTGATCTCCTTGCTGGTGCTTAACCTTTTAAGGCTGTTCAGTCTTTGCTTTGAACCCCACAGAGGTCGCGACCCACGGGTTGAGAACCACTATTCTGTCGGATGATCACATTAGAACGACTGCAAGGAAGAACTGCTCATGGTTTCCTTGCTCATTCATTGGCACCTTTCCGTCTTTCCAGACGATAGTGTTATTTTGCGCCAGAAGGAGGCATGAGACTCACAGCCCATGGCGATGGCGAGTATGACTAGCAAGACCCGCCCGTGTCAAGAAAAGTCTTCCACAGTTATAGCATGGGATTTCAGGACCATTGTGAACAACATTTGCTCATGGTTTAACAGTATGTAAATACAGAAACGGAGATCCACCGTGGGTTCCAGGGCTCCATTGTGGGAAAACAAGAATAGACCCATTGCCTCCCCAACCAGCATGTCGTAGGAGTCGGCTAACTGCGGACTTCCTTCGAAGTCGGAGTGCATCTGCCAGTCATCAAGGAACAACGAGCTGCTCACAAATAAGCCAGTGAATCGGATGCACACGCAAAACTCAGGCCCTGGTAGAAAGCCAAAGTCCAAGTGGGGACGAACAGCCAGGACTTTCCACTCAAGCTTACAATCGGTGAACTAAGAAGAAGCCATACAATTATTATCACTTAATATAACCCTTATCATCATTATCACCGTCGTAATCATCATCATCACCATCATCATCATCACCATCAACATCTTCATCATCATCATTATTATCACCCTCATCAATTACATCATTATCACCGTCATCATCACTGTTATAATAACCAGTATCAACATCATCCTCATCCGAATCAGAATCATACTCATCTTAATCATCACTTTCGTTGTCATCATCCTCATCATCATTATCAACGTCACCGTCATCGTCATCTACATCATCTTCACAATTATAATAAACATCATTACCACCATCATCATCATCTTCGTCGTCATTATCATTATCATTATCATCACCGTCACCATCGTCATCATCATCAACAACATCACGGATATCATCACAGGTATAATAACTATCATCACCACCATCATCATCTGTGTCATCATCATCTTCACCGTCATAATCATCATCATCATCACTGTCATCGTGACAATTATAATCATCATCATCACCACCACCACCATCCTCATCCTGATCATCAACACGCTCATCCTTATCATCATTATCATCATTATCACTGTTGACATCGTTCTGACGCATCCAGCCTCCACAGAAGACCACCCCCAGCCCAACTGGTGAAAAGACTCACAATCATAACTGTGTGTTCATTGTCCAGGTTGAACTACAGTTGTAGGTGACAACTAGAGCAGTCACAGAAGGCAGATAATCAGATTCAAACGAAGATGCTAGGACTAACCAGGAGACAGGTAGCAACACTAAGCGTCCTGGGGATTTCAGGTCTGGCGTTTCTGATCTGTGGCATTGTCTTCAACGATATGGTGGACGTGATCATGCAGGAGGAAATCAAGAAGGTTGGTACACGTCTTACGTCGGCCGTTCTGTCTGGCTGGCTATCATGGTCTGTGTGTCTGTCTGGCTGGTTTTGATTGTGTGTTTGTCTGTATGGCTAGTTATGATAGTCTGTGTGTTTGTCTGTATGGCTAGTTATGATAGTCTGTGTGTTTGTCTGTATGGCTAGTTATAATAGTCTGTGTGTTTGTCTGTCTGGCTGGTTATGATAGTCTGTGTGTTTGTCCTATGGCTAGTTATGATAGTCTGTGTGTTTGTCAGTATGGCTGGCTATGATAGTCTGTGTGTTTGTCAGTCTGGCTGGTTATGATGGTCGGTGTGTGTGTGTGTGTGTGTGTCTGGCTGGTTATATGACGGTCGGTGTGTGTGTGTTTGTCTGTATGGCTGGCTATGACAGTCTGTGTGTTTGTCTGCCTGGCTGGTTATGATAGTCTGTGTATTTGTCTTATAGATGGCAAGACGGTCTGTGAGTTTGTCTATCTGGCTGGCTATGACGGTCGGTGTGTGTGTGTGTGTGTGTGTGTGTGTGTGTGTTTGTCTGTCTGGCTGGTTATGTCGGTCAGCGTGTGTGTTTGTCTCTCTGGCTAAGACGGTCGGTGTGTGTGTGTGTGTGTCTGGCTGGTTATGACGGTCGGTGTGTGTGTGTTTGTTTGTCTGGCTGGTTTTGACGGTGGGTGTGTGTGTGTGTGTTTGTCTGGCTGGTTATGACGGTCGGTGTGTGTGTGTTTGTTTGTCTGGCTGGTTTTGACGGTGGGTGTGTGTGTGTGTGTGTGTGTCTGGCTGGCTGGTTATGACGGTCGGTGTGTGTGTTTGTCTGGCTGGTTACGACGGTCGGTGTGTGTGTTTGTCTGTCTGGCTGGTTACGACGGTCGGTGTGTGTGTTTGTCTGGCTGGTTACGACGGTCGGTGTGTGTGTGTGTGTTTGGCTGGTTACGACGGTCGGTGTGTGTGTTTGTCTGTCTGGCTGGTTACGACGGTCGGTGTGAGTGTGTTTGTCTGTCTGGCTGGTTATGACGGTCGGTGTGTGTGTGTTTGTCTGGCTGGTTATAACGGTCGGTGTGAGTGTGTTTGTCTGTCTGGCTGGTTATGACGGTCGGTGTGAGTGTGTTTGTCTGTCTGGCTGGTTATGACGGTCGGTGTGAGTGTGTTTGTCTGTCTGGCTGGTTATGACGGTCGGTGTGAGTGTGTTTGTCTGTCTGGCTGGTTATGACGGTCGGTGTGAGTGTGTTTGTCTGTCTGGCTGGTTACGACGGTCGGTGTGTGTGTTTGTCTGGCTGGTTACGACGGTCGGTGTGTGTGTTTGTCTGTCTGGCTGGTTATGACGGTCGGTGTGTGTGTTTGTCTGGCTGGTTACGACGGTCGGTGTGTGTGTTTGTCTGGCTGGTTATGACGGTCGGTGTGTGTGTTTGTCTGGCTGGTTATAACGGTCGGTGTGTGTGTTTGTCTGGCTGGTTATAACGGTCGGTGTGTGTGTTTGTCTGGCTGGTTATAACGGTCGGTGTGTGTGTGTTTGTCAGTCTGGCTGGTTACGACGGTCGGTGTGTGTGTTTGTCTGGCTGGTTATGACGGTCGGTGTGTGTGTGTGTCTGTCTGGCTGGTTATGACGGTCGGTGTGTGTGTGTTTGTCTGGCTGGTTATAACGGTCGGTGTGTATGTGTGTGTGTCTGTCCCTTGTGTATAGTTTTCATCCCTCTGTCATCTGACATTCTTTCAGAATGTCCCAGCCATTTCAGTCTGTTAGTGCTCATATTGCCAGTAATCAATGGTTACGAACAGATTATGAATTTTGATGTTAACACTCTCCTCATTCCCCGTTCTTTGCATCTTTGACAGGTCTAAGATTCGTCGTAAGACTGTTTTCAAAAATGTGTAAAAAGGCTTCATCTCTTTTAGTTCTGCTTCATGTTTCAGGGCTATATAAAAACAAGTGGATCTTATCTGCGTTTTATTTATTTTGATATTGGTTTTGCGAAATAGTGGGTTTTTACTTTAGCAGATGTTGAAGGGCATAATTTACTTTATTTCCAGATTGTATTCTATTTCTTCTCTCAGCATGTTGGAGCAGTTGAAGTTTGCACCCAAGTACATATATGTTTCCGCTTGCTGTATGAGGCGCATCTTTGGTATATTATGGCGAGACCTTGTCTCTAAAGACTGTGTACTCACAAGAGCGAAAACACCATCAAGGTACTGTCATCTGAAGCAAAGACGTCTTCGTGGGACATGTCTCCAGCATGGAGGGTGGTCATATTCTAAAGGACCTTCTGTATGGTCAACTGAAAACAGTGACCTATAGGAAGGCCAAACCTATGTTATAATGACATATGAAAACGTGACCTGATAGATACCGGCATAGGCGCAGAGACTTGGGGAGACAGTAACTGCAGATCGACTACTATGGCGACAGAAAGTTGAATGCTGGATTGTCGCAATTTTAAAGAAATCAAATTCAGCGAGCTATAGAGAGGAGACGCCGGAGAGAAAATCACCCTCCTAGCCCGGGAGTATCTACTTTTTTGTGTGTATCCTATTTGGCGCTCTGTGGCTAAGTCGATGCAAACGCTTCGTACTGCTGGGATGCCGGGTTCGATCCCAGCTCTACAGTGCAATGGCAAACTACTGGACGTAAATTTGCCTTAAAAAACCACGCAACAGCCAGGGGCAGTTGGTGTTGGTTCTGCAACATCCTGTAAAGGATACGCAACTAACCTCTCCTATTTGGCAGAGACAGCCACTCGCATATCGGACTTTACAGTCATAGCAGATTCTGTTGCCAAAGCCAGCAGCTGCACATCTCCATAGTCCCCAGGGACTGACGTATGCCAGTTATTGTTACTATTAATATTATTGTTCTTGATGTTGTTGTTGTCTTGTTATTATGTGTCTTATGTTGTAGGAATATAGAATAATACAATTATTTTTATTGTTGCTTTTCTTTGGGTAGTTTAAAAAAAAACTTTCTTCATACTGTTTAAAATATGTTTGGCCATTCCTGTTCTCTGCATGATTTCTGTTCTATCATCAGTAATTACATACCTATGGACGCTAGGCACGGCCACTGTTTTTAGCAGTGGCAAATTGTTTGCTTCTGCCAGACACTGGCCGTTGCATTTTTGCTCCATTTATAGACTGAACGAATATAGTTTCTTTGCCCAGCTTCTGAGTTGAATGCATGGCTAACACTGTGAGCTGCGGATTTCATTTGGAATGTTTTTCGACTGTGACCAACGAATGAATTGTAGATTCAGAAAATGGTGCAATGCCCGTTGTCGCAATATTGGTGGTGCCATTATGTGATTAAAATTGATTGCATGTGCAACTGCTGATCTGTTGGTGACTTCTGCTACCATCCATGATGAACTGCATTTCTAATGTCGGACTGTTTGTGTTAGCACTTCAGATGGCTATTGTATGCTTTAATGCATGTGTATGCTAGTGCATATGCCGAAACAGCAGTCTGTCAATCTCTCAACAAGGGACTGTGATAAACATTCTGTGTGTTTTTCATTGGCACAGGAGCGGAGCAAGATGGGGTGACCCGTTTGCTATGAAGCTAAACCTAAGATTACTAGATTACCAGATACCTAAAATAGATGAATCTTGTAATCCAAAATATCTTTTCATTTCAGCAATTACCTCTTAAAAATGGCACCATTGGTTTCAAAAACTGGCAAAAGCCTCCAGTGCCTGTGAAATTTGGAATCTATGTTTTTGACATTGTTAATCCGGCTGAGGTTCTTGCAGGCGAGCCGCCTGCTGTGCTTGAAAAAGGACCTTATGTATACAGGTTGATGAAATTTATGTTCACAGCTGACTGATGTTTATATGTACAGTTGTTGGAGTTTGTGTGTATATGTCCTGTATTTATGTGTACAGTTGCTGAAGTTTATGTGTAAAGTTATTCAAGTTTATGTGTAGTCTCCATTGCTAAAGAACACAAATAATCACAGCTGGAGTTATGCTTGCAATCGCATTGGTGATATGTTTATATGTTGCTATGCATGGGAACATCGGCGTCTGTGACTTGGGCATTGCAAACGTGCTTCGTAATGCCGGGATGACGGCTTAGATCCCTGCTGCAGACGATTGTTCTTGTGCTGGTTTCGACAGTGGTAGTGAGAGCTGACAGGTCAAGAAGCAATGGCAAACTACTGAACGTAAAATGTGCTTAGAAAAACCACAACAGCCAATAAATGCTGTGGTTGGTTCTGCAACGTCCTGTAAAGGAAATTCAACTAACTTTTAAAATGTATGAAACTGATGGGACACTGTGTATAAAGACCAGCAGCTGGTAAAGTAAAAAGCACAAATGAAGCCTGCTTCAGAATAGGGATGGATGGCCATCGTTGAAAGGTATTAGGATGTTAAGTTGAGACAAGAACGGACATCAGAGCACTCAGGACATACATATAAGTGCTCCCTCTTCATCTTTTGGGTGTATCTGTGTTCCCCTGAAATGGAGCCCCAGAACCCACACCACATACAGATAAGCTAGATCTGTAAAATGGATGTGCACACTCAAGTTCTGGAATAAGACCAGTTTCCAGAAGTGGACAAACAACCAGAACTTTCTACAAGAGTTTGCAACCTGTGAAGGCAAGGAATAAAGAATGAACATTTGAACAAATACTTGTTTAGCCCCCACCATATGCCTGAAATATCAATGGCATAAAAAAGAGATTTTTAATATTCAAACTTATAATTACTTACTCATTGTGTGGATTCCTGGACCCATTGGGGATGGGGGGGGGGGGGGGGGAGGGGGTGATGTCATAAAAGTAGACAAATTAAGGGTGTTTTCTTAGAAGTCAGCATCTGCCTAAGAGGCGAGAAACCCAGAGTCCACTTACAAAAAAGCCAGATGTGTAAAATGACTTTATGCTTCTTCTTCCTCTTCTTCTTTGCGTTCGGTTTCGTATGCTCAGATCAGACCATCAGGGGGGTTGCCTCTATGAACTCACATGTCAGTAGCAGGTTCTTCATGGTTCCCCATAGCTTGCTCTGCACACTTTGCTCTTGAGGCCAGGTGTCTTTTCGAAGTTGTAGGTAGAGTGGGCAGGTCTGCAAAATGTGCTGAGGTGTTTGTGGTCCTGTGTGAAAGACAAACTGTGGGGACTGCACAATCTTTATTTTATGCATGTGATAGTTGAGCCTGTTGTATGTTGTATGTTGCTTTCTGTTGAGTCTGCTGATGGAGTCTTGTGGATGTTTACTGTTAGTTTGTTCTCTCCACAATCCCTTAAATTTTCCTTTGATAAGTGTACTGATTTCTTGTAATGACAATAGATGGGCGTGTTGTTTCTCATTTGTTCCATTTGTTTGCAAGTCTGTCTGCTTACTCATTTCCAGTTTTCAGTGAGCAAAAGACAAGTTCTAGAACAAGACTAAAGTCCAGAAGTGGATGAACAACCAGGGCCTTCCACTGGAGTTTACAGCCTGTGAAAACTAAGATGAAGAAAAGAAGATTATTTACAATCTAGAGAACAATAATTGAGCTCCCCGTGTAGGTTCCGGGACCCTGTTATAGGGAAAACAAAGATAGACCCACTGCCTACCCAAAAGCATGTCGTAAGAGTCGACTAACGGGGAGCTCCCTTCAAAGTCTGAGTGCGTCTACCTGAGAGGCAAGGAACCAGCGTCTGCATACAAATGAGTCAGATCTGTAAAACGGATGCACATGCAACACTAAGGTTCTGGAACAGGACTGCAGTCCAGCAGTGGATAAACAATCAGAACTTTCCGCCAAAGTTTACAGCTGGTGAACAAGAAGAAAATAATTGAACATTCTCTTTCTGATGTTTCAGTATGCACATTGAGAAAACAGATATTAAATGGCATGATAACAACACTGTAGAGTACGTCCAACCACAGAGATTTGTCTTTAACAGAGAAGAATCTGTGGGTCCTGACACAGACACATTTCGGACTGTAAATATACTATATATAGTAAGTATTCTTCTTTTGTTCTTTTTCTTGTACTTGTTCTTATTATTTTTCTTATCTTTTTTTTTCTCATCAGCCTCCTCCTCCACCTCCTTCTTTGTCATCATCTTCCTCCTCGTCCTAGTCTTTGTCTTCAACTTCATCTTTCTCTTCTTCCCCTTCTTCCTCTTCTTCTTCTTCTTCTTCTTCTTCTTCTTCTTCTTCTTCTTCTTCTTCTTCTTCTTCTTCTTCTTCTTCTTCTTCTTCTTCTTCTTCTTCTTCTTCTTCTTCTTCTTTTTCTTCCTCATCTTCATCATCTTCTTCATCATCATCATCATCATTGTCATTATCAGCAGCAGCATCAAGCAGCCTCATCATCTTTATCTTTATCATCATCTGCCCTTGTTCCCCTTTGGAGCTTAAGCCCTGAACCAGATAACAAGTCATCCTGTCTTTTTATATGACATGCAGATCACCCCATGTTTTCTCATTCTTCTTCATGTGTTTCTTTGGCTTGCCTTTATTCCTCATATCTAGATCCACTGACATTAGTTTAAATCTAAAAACACCACATTACTGTTTCTGTCATACTTTTTACTTAATTTCTCTATACACCTGTATATAAGGTTAGTTGTGTGACCAAAAGCATGTCGTAAGAGTCGACTAAATCGGAGCTTCCTTCGAAGTCAGAATGCATCTGCCTGAGAGGCAAGGAACCAGCAGTCTGCATACAAATGAGTCAGACCTGTAAAACGGATGCACACACAACACTCAGGTTCTGGAACAGGACTGCAGTCTAGAAGTGGACGAACAACCAGAACTTTCCTCTGGAGTTTACAGCTGGTGAACACGAGGAAGAAGAAGAAGAATAATAACTATGAACTAGCTTGCACAAACTTTGTTGTTGTTGTAGTTAAAGAATTGCCAATGTTTGCTTGAATTTTTCAGCTAAATTCTTCAACAAAATAAGATAACCAGTCTCATGCTAGTGTTTTTTAGTCTTACAAGATACATTGTAAAGGTTGTGTACAGTTAATGAAGTTTATATGCACAGTTACTGAAGTTTATATGCAGTTACTGAAGTTTATATGCACAGTTACTGAAGTTTATCTGCACAGTTACTGAAATTTATATGCACAGTTACTGAAGTTTATATGCAGTTACTGAAGTTTATATGCAGTTACTGAAGTTTATATGCACAGTTGCTGAAGTTTATATGCACAGTTAATGAAGTTTATACGCAGTTACTGAAGTTTATATGCACAGTTACTGAAGTTTATATGCAGTTACTGAAGTTTATATGCACAGTTACTGAAGTTTATATGCACAGTTACTGAAGTTTATATGCAGTTACTGAAGTTTATATGCACAGTTACTGAAGTTTATATGCACAGTTACTGAAGTTTATATGCACAGTTACTGAAGTTTTTATGCACAGCTACTGAAGTTTATATGCACAGTTACAGAATTTTAAATACAGAGTTACTGAAGTTTATATGCAGTTACTGAAGTTTATATGCACAGTTACTGAAGTTTATCTGCACAGTTACTGAAATTTATATGCACAGTTACTGAAGTTTATATGCAGTTACTGAAGTTTATATGCAGTTACTGAAGTTTATATGCACAGTTACTGAAGTTTATATGCACAGTTAATGAAGTTTATACGCAGTTACTGAAGTTTATATGCACAGTTACTGAAGTTTATATGCAGTTACTGAAGTTTATATGCACAGTTACTGAAGTTTATATGCACAGTTACTGAAGTTTATATGCAGTTACTGAAGTTTATATGCACAGTTACTGAAGTTTATATGCACAGTTACTGAAGTTTATATGCACAGTTACTGAAGTTTTTATGCACAGCTACTGAAGTTTATATGCACAGTTACAGAATTTTAAATACAGAGTTACTGAAGTTTATATGCAGTTACTGAAGTTTATATACGCACAGTTACTGAAGTTTATATGCACAGTTACTGAAGTTTATATGCACAGTTACTGAAGTTTATATGCACAGTTACTGAAGTTTTTATGCACAGCTACTGAAGTTTTTATGCACAGCTACTGAAGTTTATATGCACAGTTACTGAAGTTTATATGCACAATTACAAAAGTTTTTATGCACAATTACAAAAGTTTAAATGCAGAGTTACTGACGTTTATATGCACAGTTACTGGAGCTTATATGCACAGCTACTGAAGTTTATATGGACTGCTACTGAAGTTTATATGCACAGCTACTGAAGTTTATATGCACAGCTACTGAAGTTTATATATATTATTCAAATAGAAAAAATCTACATATCCCAGTTATAACTCGGATGGGTTGACAGGATATTGTTGTTTATTTGACTACGACTTTTTTTGTTGGGTGCACGGTTAGGGTTCTTATTGAGTTCCAGTTACTGCAAGCACAGCTATTAGAATTATTTTTCAAAGGACTCCATGGTGAAGTGGTCAAGCTGTTTGCTTACTGCTCTGAAAGTTCTGAGTTCATTTCCGGATGCGTCAGTCAGTTCACACCGGAGGTCATCATTGAAACTAAATAGTTTATGTTTCGTGTGATCTTCTCAACAGGCGGCTAGATATTCTGTTGAATGTTGAATTTAGAATTGACATCACAGCACTCGGGACACTCCCATTAGTGCTTAGTCTCCATCTTCAGCAGCAAGTGAAAAGTTCCAATTCAGATGGTGCCAGTAACCGTCTGATTGTGTATCTGTCTCATCCTTCCGCTGAGTGTTGAGCATCAGCCAGATGCCCTGGTAACTCCTCGCAGCGTCTTTCACCTTAGACCCTAATGATCTATTTGTGCCTCCACACTGTTCACCCATTCTCAAAGGGCCCTCACAACATCTAACTTGTCAAACATCAGTTCACCACCAAGTGGTACAGGTGCCAGCCAGTCTATCTACCTGCTCATTTCCCAACATACCAGCATAACCTGGAGAAAATATCCAAAGGACATTAACTACGGTAACTACCCTGGACCTCTGAAGTGATGCTTGCCACTCTGCACGAAGCATGGCTGTTTTCACCTTTCTCCACCTGCTCCCTGAGTCAGTTACAAACACGGCATATGATTCTGCTGAGAGAGACTATGGGATAATCCAGGGTTTTGAAGTCCATTCTTTGGATTTTAGTTTTACTTCTAAAATTGTAAGTTTATCTAAAAATAAAGATGGTTGTGTAACTTTAACTTGACATTGCACGCTTTTTTTACATTTACTTGTTCGATCCTTTTCTACCCTGAGGCGCAGAGATTTGCCAGAGAGATCACTGGACTTCTCTATGTGCCGTTTTGTGTGTGTTTTGTTGTTGCTTTGTTCCATTCTACTCTTCTGTCATACAGGGACAGTTGGATGTTGTCTTCCCAGTAAACACTGAGTTGTCCTGGAGGTCTGGTTTCCTGATTCTTGGCCTCCCATGCACTCGTGCACCCAACTGAGCAGAACCCCGGTTGTAGTCAGGGGCCCTAAAATAACCTAATGGTTGAATGCGGTTTCTGGGACCTCTCTCCGGGTGATCCTCATCCGTATGGTCGCACTTTGTGTCACCGGTGCTTATCGCTTGGTGGATGTCCTGATGCGGTCAAATATCATTCATTCATTCTGAGCGCCTAATATGGAAAGCAGTTTTTTTTTTAATTTTTAAAAGCCTCACTCGGCTCTTGTTTGGGGCCCTAAATATAACATTGCGGTTGAACTGGGTTTCCCGGAATTACACCAGTGTGATTTCCATGTGAATTATGTCAGCGGGTGTTTGCTGTTTGTTGTGGATCCTGTGACATTGAATGTCAGTCAGAGTTTGTAAGGTCCGGGTTTGAAGATCCTGACGAATTGTCTAGTTGCGAATTTTGGGACAACGTAAACAAACTGTAACAGTTGCTGACTGCTTGTGTGGTATTACTAGGCAACGTACTTTTATTAGTTTGCCATTGTTTTCTTGACAGTACAACATTCCTATCATTGCCTTTTGAACAGTAAAACAATTATACCATAACTTTCTGAACAGCACAACATTCATACCATTGCTTTCTGTATAATACAACATTCCTACCTTGCTTATTGAACAGCACAACATTCATACCATTGCTTTCTGTATAATACAACATTCCTACCTTGCTTATTGAACAGCACAACATTCATACCATTGCTTTCTGTAAAATACAACATTCCTAACTTGCTTATTGAACAGTACAACATTCATACCATTGCTTTCTGAACAGTACAACATTCATAGCAGTGTTAAAATTAACACAAAGTTAATCAGTTGCTTGCAGCTGGCTTCATACCTTTGTATGTTGGGATAGTGAAACTAAATTCACAACCTCAAAACCACAAACGCAGAATATAATAATTTGCAGATCTGATAAGGAGACCTCACAGGGGACCCAAGTAATGGATCTTCTTATCAGAAATTCCTCTAATCCAGATAGATGTTTGAGCAGATAAACAAATTGTTTTTCACAACAGAAATTCACCTCATCCAAGTTGAGTTGAGGTGAGTTTTATAAACCGATATCATAGCACTCGGGACATTCCGATGAGTAGTCCATCCCCATCCTCAGCAGCCAGCGAAGAGTTCCAACTCTGATGATGCTAATAACAGTCTGATTGCATGTTGTCTTCCCTATTATCCACATCCGAGATCACTTGAAGCCTTCTGTACAAACTGTATAACTGAATCATAAATCAGATGCTGTTTTTTTTTGTGTATATAAAATGCAGGCAACAGCGACAATCCTTCAAGGTATGCCCCCTTTGGTGCAAGACTTAGTTGATGCTTACTTGGTCAGTCAGGGGGAAGACACTTTCATGATCAGAAGCGTTCATGACATCTGGTGGGGGTATGAAGACCCGGTTCTAGAAGAGGTGGCTAAAATCTTGGAAAGATTCAACAAAAGCAGTCCCCTGTTTAATGGGAAGTTTGGCTTTTTCATGAATGTGAGTAATGCTTTTTTTGGATGATTTGTTTAATTTTTGTCTGGCTACTTTTCTTCTTCAAAATTCTTTTTGTTCTTCTGTGTTCATGCTTAAAAGGAGCTGTTGGTATTTTATTTTTGTCATGGACCTACAATCCAACATGAATGTAAGTATGATAGTGGTAAATATAAGAATCCTTGCAACAGAATTCAAGCACAAAATGAGTACAGAGTTTTCCCCAGGAAGTTGGATGAACATACAGGGATGGGATGTGACGAAAGGAAGAAAGTTAGGTAGGGTTTTTGACTTGAGAAGATTGACTGACTGTACCTCGACTGGGCCTTTTTCAAAAAGTGTTATGCAGTGTATTTATTGAGATCCAGGTTCCCCAATTTGGTTTTCTGCATGCTAATTTGGTCAACCTATCAGAAGGCCGATGGATTGTACTGTACGATGAAAGGATTCAAATCCTTCCAAGGATCCTTACGGATGGTTCAGCTTTAGCCATAAGTGTGGACCCACCGACCCCAGACTGTAACACTATAGCTGTAATGCCACCTCATAAGAACATTACATGTGTTAACGGGTGTGTTTTGTACGTTGTTGATGTCGCGGATGTTCGCAGGTAACCCCCTTTATGACATGTTATTTTTTACAGCTAGGCTGTGGTATCAGATATCTGTGCCATAAAGCTCAGCACATCTATGTACTGTGAAGCTAACTCAGCTCATAATGCACTCAACATATCCAGTTTAAGCAAATTCTTAATTAGTCACTTTTCGTCATGTTGTTAAAAGACAATGATTATACCCCCCCCCCCTCCCCAAAAAAAAAAGATGAGGCCCTAGAAGCTAGTCTCACCTCGTGAGTTACGGGGCCTCATTTGGAAGTGGGGTGGGGGAGGGGGGGAATAGACCAGGTGTCCTAACATGCATGTCATAAAAGTCAACTAACTAGAGCTGTTTCCTTTGATCTCGGAGTCATTTGCCTGAGAGGAACCAAGACAAGAGGATGAACAAAGATAGTGTTTTTTACACAGAGTTTACAGGCGGTGAATACGAAAAAAGCAGATTAAGAAGAAGAAGGAGGAGGAGAAGAATAAGAGGAAGGAAGAAGAGGCAGCGGCAGCACCACCTGCAGCAGGAGGAAAGATAATGATTTGGTTTTTATCAGTCTGAAAACAAATTCTTACTATTTTTTTTACTCATGGTTACTATTGCTTTATTCAGAGAAACAACACTGGAGACGGCCTCTATAATGTCTACTCAGGCTTGAATGGGCAGTTTGACAATTATGTTCGCATTGACAGATGGAATGGAAAGAAGTATGTAACATCTCATCTTCAATGGTTTACCTAATTAAGATTGTTTACTAACAAACACACAAAGATGACTATGTGATTATGTTGAGAGGTATATTTTTAAAAAAATAGAACAGTTGCAGACAGTTGGGACAACTGGGAACATGTTTAAAAGATAGAGGAAGACAATGAGAGAAGATTTTGCTGTGTATATATTTGTATATGTGTGTGTGTGGAAGGGGGGAGGGTGGGGAAGGTTTTTCTAGAAATAAAGGTGCCAGTACTCACAACAGAATGTCTGAAAAAAAATGCCAGTACTCACTACAAAGTGTCTATTCAAGTATGGTTGAAAAAGTGATGCTTCAAAGCGTACCAGAAAACAACACCAAATATATATTGTAATTTTTTTCTTATTGCGATAAGAGACTGGTCATTGTCTAGTGTTCACAGAGTAGACGAGACAGAGTTTCTTTCCAATAAAGTCCCACAACTCTTCCACATAACAGTCGACACTTGTTGATGACAGTTTCATATATTTTAATCACAACACATCAGCTTTGAGAGCCTGTCCTCCAATCTAACAAACAGCCTATTGACAGTCTACAGCATTACACTTAAACATTCAGGTTCCTCTTATCCGCACTTCGGATCACACAGCCAAAGTTTCTATGTCCCTTGTGGATATGTACTTGACCATAATCAGCACTCAGTCGAACACATCAGAATCATCTTTATCTCAGCCTTCATTCAGTGTAGCTTTCAGTACAGATGATCTTAAGGCTGTCCTTGAAACCTTTCTTCTGTCCACCTTGAAAGCATTTTCCTTTTAGTAGCTCACAATAAAAAATTATGTTTGGCAGTCGATGGTCAGTCATGTGGACTATATGGCCTGTCCAGTGAAGTTGTGATTGTTTTAGAATTGAGTAAATACTGGACAGTCCAGCTCTGTCAAGGACTTCAGTGTCAGGGATCCTGTATTGTCATTTTATGTTCAGCAACTTTCTGAGGCATACTCTGTAGAAATGGTTCAGCTTCTTAGCATGGAGCTGGTAAATAGTCTATGTTTCACATGCATGGTATAGGAAGTATGACAGCTTTGTACACTTTGAGCTTCGTCTGCAAGCTGATGCCAGGTCTATTCCAGACTTTTGTACGAAGTCTACCAAATGGGCTGCTTGCTCTAGATATACTTGTTTTGATCTCTAGATCGATATTAGTTTTCTGATCGAGCAAGCTGCCAAGATATGTAAACCTATCTACTGTCTTTGGTGCTTTACCATTGACTGTGATGTTTGGTTCATGTAGACTCGTTCTTGGGCTGGCTAGAACATTATTTCAGTTTTGTCAGTGCTTATGATGAGTGCAAAGCTTGTACAGGCTTTTGATGATTTGCTTACACTATGTTATAGTTCAGGCTCCCAGCTGGCACAGGTAGCACAGTCATCAGCCAAAAGTTGCTTCCAAAACTTTCCCAAAGTCTCATCGCCCCCAATTTCATTAATAAAATGTTCCCATTTTTTTTTGGGCCTCTGCTACACAAGGCTTGAAAAACCCTATCCTTTCCATGGACTCCAATTCCTCCTGCTTCCAATAAGGATGTTTGTTGCACTTTCTTTAATAGTTTTACTGCAGCTCTCTTTAACTTCCATGCCTGTTCTACCTCTGATGTCCATCATGGAGTCTGCACAAAAGTAGATCTGCCGGCCCTCCTACATGCCCTCTGTCAGAAGCGTCCAAGAAGGGTGTTTGTCCACTCAAACTTGAAATACCTACAAGCTTTTAAATCCTTGACTTTACTGGATTTAGAGATCAATACCGAACATGGCAGATGGTCACTTCCATGATCGCTGTTGATTTTCCCCAATACTGGGATGGAGAGAATGATGCACCTGGGTGTGACCAGAGGGTTCGGCTGCCACACTACACTCAGTCTCAGGCTAGATGGACGTACTACCAGATTATGACTGGCACCATTAGTAATTGAACTCAGTACTGGCTACTAAGATTGCGGACGGAGCATGTATGGGAATGCCCTGAGTGCTGTGTATCAACTCTTGACTCAACTCAGCTCAACTCAACTCAGTAAAAAAGTAATTCTCTAATGGTGTCTGACTTTACCTTGGTTTTTAGCACTTAGCCTCCTGTGTTTAAATAGATCGCAATCAGTGTGATATCTTATAACGATACCAACATACCCATCTCTGAAGGCATCAATCAGCTAAGCAGAGAATATGATGCTGAACAGTGCTACTGCAAGCACTTACCCTTGCTTTACTCCATTTGAGACCATAAAAGACTCTGAGAGCTGTCCATTTTCCTGAACTCTTGCTTGCATTCCTCTATGGAACTACTTCACTATTGTTGTAAACTTTTGTGGGCAGCCAAATTTTGCCATGATTTTTCACAGTCCATCTCTACTGACTGTGTCAAAGGCCTTGGTCAGGTCAATGAAGGCATAGAACAAATCAACATTATGCTCTTGACATTTTCCCTGCAGCTGCCTTGCAGCAAATTTCATGTCAATAGTGCCTTGATCTTTCCGGAAGCCAAACTGACTTCTCAGGCAGAAGACCTTGATCAAGGTATGCTGTAAGGTGAGCCAGGATGTTCCTGGCTAGCATATGACAGGGAGATGACCCCATGGTTGTTGCAAGCCATGCAATTGCCTTTTCGCTTGTAGAGGTGAACAACTGAGACATCCTGTAGGTCTTGACAGTCTCACTTTGCCATATCAGCTGAAAGATATTATGAAGCTTCTTCACCAGAGTTGTACCACCTTCCTTGTAAATCTCAGCTGGTATTGAGTCGGCACCTGGAGTTTTACCATTTGAGAGTTGACGAATGGCATTTGTTGTCTCAGCCAGGGTAGGTAAGTCATCGAGTGAGTTGTATATGGGAACTTAAGGCGAGCATTCTATGGCTTTATCACTTATAAATGAGGTTTGGTTCAAAACACCTTCAAATGCTTCACCTAGCATTTGAGAATGTTCACATTGTCAGAGATAAGCATTTTTCCATCGGCACGGAGGAGGGGGGTAGATCCCAACGATACTGGACCATAGACTGCTCTTAGTGAATCATACAAGGTTTTCAAGTCGTGCTTATCTGCAAATGTCTGAATTCCGTCAGCTATTTTGCTCAACCAGTTGTTTCGCATCAGGTGAAGTTTCAGCTGAGCTGATTTCTGTGTATTATCGAAGGCATCTCTCACTGATGCAGATTTTGGATCCATTCGATTTGCTCTGTGTAGGCGATGTTTCTCAGCTAGTAGATTGTTTATGTCTTCTGAGTTTTCATTGAACCAGTCGTGTTGTTTCCTGATAAGGTGCCAAGGATCTATGTGGTAGTCTCATGGATCATCTCCGTAATCATCAGCCAGCTTCTTCTCCACATTTTGCCCATCTAATGAAGAAGATTGGAGATGGTCTTCTAAGGTTTCCACTAACAGGGGCTTGATACGTGGTTTCTTCAAGCTGGTTATGTTCGTTATCTTTCTTTATCTACTATTTTTATTTATTTACTTTTTGTGTGTTCATAAACTGCATAGGTCGTAAGTCAAAAAGAAAGTGTATTATGTCTAGTGCATCTGAGGTTTGAGGTTTGAACAACGGATCAACCTCATGGCACACGGGTTGTAACCCATATGTGCTCCGTTCTTCTTCTAACTCAAGTCTGAGTCCGAAGAAGCTCAGCACAGTGCACAGGCTCTGTAGCACCGCAAGGATCCTGAAATACTGTGGGTAGATTTTTAACTCCAAATTTTGTTTGGGCAGCGCCGTTAGGCTACTCCTTTAAATTTCCAAATGTCAAGGGATTTTTTTACATGCGCAACAATGCACACGGGCATCTGATCTCACTACCCAGAGACCAGGTGCGGATTACTAGAAGTCCAGGTTCACATGAAAAAATCCCAGCCCCTACCGGGGATTGAACCCGGAACCTCCAGCACTCGAGGTGGACACCATGCCTTGAGACAACACAGACCCCTAGTGCATCAAAGAGGGTGGAAAAGGGTTCTTTTTGTGTATACATGTTCTGAGATTTTTTACATCATTTTGGATATATTTGAGGTGTTAACAAAGATTTTATTAACATTTTACTTTTGTTTCAGAAATCTGTCGGTGTGGTATTCAGAATATGCAAATGAAATTCGAGGAACAGGTAACATTGAATTTTAATTCTCCTCCTACTACAATGCTGTGATCTTTGAGTTTTAACTCTTTCTCATCATCATGTTTATGTACTTCTGTAAATTGGAACCCTTTTTTAAATCATTGTGTTAATATATGTCTGTGAGTTTTAACATTTTTCACCTTTACGTTCATAAATACGGTAAGTTTAATGTTTCTCATCATCATGTTCCTATAATTCTATGAGTTCTAACTCTTTGTCATTACCATTTCGTATACATGTGTGGGTTTAACTCTTTTTCATCATCCTGTTCATATACTTATGGGATTTTAAGTCTTACTCATCACCAGGCTATGCTTTTCCATTCCTTTCTTCCTTCCTTCCTTGGTTGCTTTCTTTCTTTTGTCTTTCTTTCTTTCTTTTGTCTTTCTTTCTTTCTTTCTTTCTTTCTTTCTTTCTTTCTTTCTTTCTTTCTTTCTTTCTTTCTTTCTTTCTTTCTTTCTTTCTTTCTTTCTTTCTTTCTTTCTTTCTTTCTTTTTCTTTCTTTCTTTCTTTCTTTCTTTCTTTCTTTCTTTCTTTCTTTCTTTCTTTCTTTCTTTCTTTCTTTCTTTCTTTCTTTCTTCTTTCTTTCTTTCTTTCTTTCTTTTCTTTTTCTTTCTTTCTTTCTTTTTCTTTTCTTTCTTTCTTTCTTTCTTTCTTTCTTTCTTTCTTTTCTTCTTTCTTTCTTTCTTTCTTTCTTTCATGCTTGCTTGCTTTCTTTCTTTCTTCCTACTTCTTCTTTAGCCTTTGAGGATTTTATTACAGCAGATGTCACCCGCTTTCATTCATCTCTGTGACTGCCTTTCTCTTTCCAGTGTGGTTTTTCTCTAAGAGTTTGTTGAGTGTCTGCATATTATCTCTCCACCATCTTCTTATTCTGTGTTGTAGTATACTTTAAGTTAACTCTTTTTTGTATGCAGATTTTGTCTCTTGTCATTTTATTATGATTCCCTCTATATGCCCCATCCATTGCAGACCATTAACACTCACGACACCAGTGATTGCGGAGATTTAAAACGATTACAAATTTGTTGGTTGCTTCTTACTCTTCATTCCATTTTCATCTGTTACAGGTCTGAAGATTTGTTGCAAAATTATTTTCTCAAAAGTCTGTAACAAGGTTTCATATTTTATTTGTGCTCCAAGTTTCAGAGTCAGACAGACTAAAATGGTCTTATGTGTAGTTTATATTTTGTGATCTTTATGTTAAGAGATGTGCTTTATATACGTCTATGAGCTTTAACTTTCTGTTATGAACAGACTGTACTTCTGGGACTTTTAATTCTTTCTCATCACCAAGCTGTATACCATATGTGGTTGTCTATAGTCTGCATGCATCAAACAATGTTAGATGTGTTATTGGATCTGCTACATTTGGTCTGAGAATACTAAAGATATCTGGCTAGATATTTAACACCTTGTATGTTTCCTCTGTGAAATTAATAAACTAATGCCTTATTTGTTCCTACTTACTATGTTTACAAAAATGACCTTGTTAAAACCTATGCAAATAGTTAAACATATACATTAATTCCATATGCGTTCTGGAGCTTCATTGAGGGGAAAACATGAATAAATGTACTGCCTAACCAAAACAGATAAAAAGAGTTGACTAATTGGAAGCTTTTTTCGAAGTTGAAGTGCATCTGCCTGAGAGGCAAGGAATCAACAGTCTGTATACAAATGAGTCAGAAGTGGATGAACAACCAGAACTTTCCATTGGAGTTTACAGCCAGTCAACCTGAAGAAGAAGAAAATATATATAAATTAAATAATAAACAATGATTTTAAAGAATCTGGAGAATTTCCCAAGCTGAATATTAATTTGAAGAAAAAAAATCTAAAGGTATGCAAACACAGTGTTACTAACAGGAAGTAAGCATTAGTTACAAGACTTAATGGATCAAGTAAATATGTGCAGTGCATAATGTTCCTTAGATATTAATCTCAGCAATTTATTGGCTGTTGTGGTTTTTTTAAGTTAAATTTACATCTAGTAGTTTGCCACTGCTTTCTGGATGGTCAGCTTCTTGGTACCACTGTTGAAACCAATGCAAGGTGCCAGGCGTGCAACTGGGATCGAACCCTGGCACTGTAAAGCTCGTTTGTAGCGCCTAAACCACAGACGCCAACAGATATTAATATTTAAAAAATATAATAAAACTATGATAACTAACATGGAAAATTGAAGCCAAGAGACCAGAGAAAAAAGTAACAAGCTTCTCCTCACCTTGTACAAGTTACAGAAGATGATGGCAAAAACAGAAAGGCTATAAATGAAAAGAGGACTGAATAAAGAGGAAAGGAAGTGAAATGCATCATCCAGATAAGAAGACAATAATTCTTCTTCTTCTAATTTTTCGTCTTCTTCTTTATTTCCTTTTTACCACTTCGGGTGTCTAGGGAGAAATAAGACTCTCCTTCTTGCTCTTATGGCTGTCTCAACCAAGACACATTATGCTGTTGATGTTATCCTTTTAACTTGTTCTTGGTCTACCCTTTGCTTTATGTCCTTCCCCTCTTTTGAAGTATGCCTTGTATGACATGGAATTGCAAGGCATTCTCTCTTAGTGGACAAACCACTTGTTCTGCTGTCTTTGTATGTAATTTAGAATTGGTTCTAACTCTACATAACACCCCTCTAAAAGCCATAGTGGCAGAACAAGTTAAAGGTAAGGAGATACAAGAAGAAAGCTCACATCAAGAAATAGATGAACCATCTATATCCTCTTCATGTCGCTGTTGACACATAAGGAATTCACAAATGATCTCCAATGCTGCCGGTCTGCTGCTTTTCTTTCCACCGGTTCTATGATTTCACTTGTTCCTGTTTCCGAAACAAAGTATTTTTTTTTACAGTAATGGGTTGTCAATCCTTTGCCCAATCCCCAGCCTGGAGGACCAGGGTGCTAGTTTGGTCTGACTCTTCCTCTTAAGATCTGTTTGACATGGTTAAACCTGCCAGGAGAACAAGTTCCCTGGTGGCATACCTATGAGAGTCATTAGGGTACGCAAGTCATCCCGCCACGACAAGGCACCAGCACCATGGGATGGTACATGAACCATGGTCACAGAGAATGTGCAATGAGTGGAAAGACACTGAGGGGAGGAGATCCTTTACAACCAAGCTTCTTTGCGGAGATACAGTGTAACTGACTGATTGATTCATTTAAAGATACAGTCTTTGTTGATGTTAACAATGCGTTCTTTTTTTATGATTGTTACAGATGGTTCTATGCATCCCCCATTTGTAAACAAAGATTCCACATTATCTGTGTTTGACGCCTATCTCCTTAGGTAAGAAGCAACCAGCCATCAGAAAGCAGAGACTGTATTTCATCCTCTGTTACTTCCATGTAGACATTAACTTAATATAGAGCAGCAGTTTATTGTATTGTGTTGTGGATGGGTCTCTGTGATGAAATGGGTAAGTTGTTTGCTTAGCGCTCTGAAGGTCATGGGTTCATTTCATAGCTGCAGCATTAAGTTTGCCAGAGCTACGATGTTCTGGCATTGTGGGATGCTCTTTAAGGTGGCCAGCTATTCTGTGTCTCACTACCGAACGATACAGGAGAAAACTGATGCAATAAAGTTGACAGTTGACTTTAAACTTGCTAACTTTAGTTTATTGTATTTGTAAACTCTAGCATATACTTCTTCTTTTTTCTTCTTTTTGCTTCTTATTTTTTATATATTATATTTTTCTCTACTCCTATTGCGTCTTTCACGTTAGGATTTGAAGAGGCATTAGGTGAGAGCCTTGCTATGTGCTTTATAAATGCTGGTGTTTACCGCCTTGAATATTCTATCTATCCGTAACTTGCATTGTCGACCACTAGCTATACCTCTAGTGTGTCGAAGCCACAGGGCTCTCTTTTGCTCCCCCCCCCCCCCAACACTGCTTACCTTCTCCCTCCCCCACACATTGAAAACCTCATAACTTTACCGAGGATTTGAACCTGGATCTCTGCGGATCAATAAAGCTGGTTCCCACACCAAAAGAGAGTTAAGCTGTTATTCCCACACCAGAAGACTATAAAGCTGTCATTCCCACACCAGAAGACCTTAAAGATGTCATTACCACACCAGAATACTAAAACTATTATTCCCATACCAGAAGACTAAAGTTGTTATTCCCACACCAGAAGACTATAAGGCTGCTTTTTTTTTTTTTCAAGAAGAACACAAAGGCTGTTTTCTTTTCAACAGATCAATGAAGCTGTTTTTTATTTTACTAAAAATCACTGAAGCCAATCATTGAAGCTGATCACTGAAGCCAGTCACTGAAGCCATTCACTGAAGCCAGTTACTGATTCGCTGAAGCCAGTCACTGAAGCCAATCACTGAAGCCAAAGGTTGGCTGGATCCGCTATCACTACCGACGGTCAGCCTATGGATCATGCTGATATTATCAATGCCCTCAGAGAAATGGAAAGGATAGACGACTTTGGTGGCAGTGAATCCACATCACTCGCCAGAATGGCAGACTTGGAAATTAAGATCGGCACAGCAAAAAACGAGACGCACACCAGCTACGCCAGAAGACTTGTTAATCAACATAGAACTGGTACTATTAGCCATCGGATGTTGAGGTTCATACTGAGGGGAGGATCTGAGCACCTATGGACATGTCCGGAGTGCAATGAGGATAACCCAACTAACTAACTAACTAACTAACTGAAGCCAATCATTGAAGCCAATCACTGAAGCCAGTCACTGTAGCCAATCACTGAGCTAATCACTGAAGCAATCAATGAAGCCATTCACTGAAGCCATTCATTAAAGCCAACAACTGAAGCCATTCACTGAAGCCAGCTACTGAAACCAATCACTGAAGCCAATCACTGAAGTCAGTCACTGTAGCCATTTCCCCCCCTTTTTTTAATCTCCCAAAAGAACACTGAAGCTAATAACTGAAGCCAGTCACTGAAGCAAGTCACCAAAACTTATAATTGAAGCCAATCACTGTAGCCAATCACTGAAACTAATCATTGAAGCCATTTTTCCCCTCTTCAAACCAGTGAATCTGTTTTTTGTTTTTTTTCTCTCCCAACAGATCATTGAAGCTACAGTACAGCACTGATTCCTCTTTCAAAAATGTCAGAACTCTGAGATTTCTAGTGCCATATTCAGAGTTTGCCTCAGCCAAGGAGAATCCTGACAATGCCGGCTTCTGCACACCAAATTGTATTCCTTCTGGGGCATATAACATGTCAGTGATTACTTACGGTAAGTTAAATTTCATTGACCCTAGTTGTGATGAGTGGTTGACCCTAGTCGTGATGAGTGGTTGACCCTAGTCGTGATGAGTGGTTGACCCTAGTCGTGATGAGTGGTTGACCCTAGTCGTGATGGGTGGTTGACCCTAGTCATGTTGATTGGTTAACCCTAGTTGTGATGAGTGGTTGACCCTAGTCGTGATGGGTGGTTGACCCTAGTCGTGATGAGTGGTTGACCCTAGTCATGATGAGTGGTTGACCCTAGTCATGATGAGTGGTTGACCCTAGTCATGATGAGTGGTTGACCCTAGTCGTGATGAATGGTTGACCCTAGTCATGATGAGTTGTTGACCCTAGTCGTGATGAGTGGCTATACATTTAAAGGTATTTCCTATAATTAAAAAAGAGCAAGACCATTAATTCTGCTTTGAAAACATCAAGAAATGCATAGGGAGTTGTTTAGTATTAAAAAGAAGTCAAAAACTTATCTTTTCTAGCTATGTCTGTGAACGCATTTTGAAACTAATTCCCTTCCATTTATTTGAGTTAACTGCAATTATTTAACTGCTTGTCTTACAGTTTCTTCACCAACCTCTCCTCCACTTACTTTAACTATTTATATTATTTTTTTTTCCTGCTCTCTATTCCATAGGCCTTCAATCAACTTATGCCAAGTCATCTCATCCTTTGCTATTGTATATATATCTCATGTCATGTCATTCTTGTCTTTCTAACTTCACTCTTTAGCTGCCTTCTTGGTTATTTGTAAGTATGCCTATATTTCTATGCTCCTATGTGTTCCAGTACAAAGGCATTCTATTTATATTTTTCTCAGGTTTTTACAGCCTACGCCCTATCTAACACCGGCGTTCTTTCCTCACTTCTTGAATCACTGGAATTTGTTTTGTACCCTTCCAAAGCTTAATATAAGTGATTCTATCATACCATTTAATTCCCTGTATTCCGTGCAGCAACAGTTAATGGATGTTTGTAGATCATAGTAATTGTTTTAGTTGTTCTCCATTTTTCTCTTCTATTTCTCTTCCAGGTAATTTCATTGGCTTCTCTGTTACTTGTATTATCACCACAATGCAGTGTCATGCTGATAAACATACACTGTCATATTTTCCTATTTCACACAAAAGTGTTTTAGCTGGTGAAATACCTTATATGTGGGTTCTATGTGTGTCTAGGTCAAATTATCATGCCTGACTACTTCCATGAACGACAGACTGCGTTTCTGGTGGCGACTGTTGGCTTTGGTGCCTTTAGCTGCCGCCATATGCATTTATATGGAGTGCGCATATTTCTGGATTGTTCCAGAACTAATGTTTTGTTCACCAGTTTTTCAAATGCGACAGTGAGGGACATTTCATTTGATTTTCACGGGCACAGGAACGGAGCAAGTATGGGGAAACCCGATTGCGGTGAAGTTTAAACCTCGACTAAGACCAAGACAGAATCACCTGAATCAGGAATCACATCCGTGTTTTTGTTGTGCCCCATCCATGTGAGTAACTCATCAAGATATTTATTTCTTTGCCCTCCCCCTTGTTCTCTCTCCATCAATCTTTTCAGCCATTACCAAGTTCTGGACTCCATTCATTCTCATAACTTGTCTGAAAAAAAACACAAGAGAGGTCTGTGTCTAATTTTTTTCTTATCAGTTTACAACTTTGAGATGTCTCGATGAGAACTGCCTTGTTCTGTCCCTTCATTCCATGATATTGTTTGCATTGTTTTCAAAAATTACATTTCTGTTGTGAGTAAATGTTTTTCAGCTTGTCTATTGACTGTCCATTGTGTTACTCTAGCTATGTCTTGTTTTTAGCTACTGTAACTCTCAGTGTTTACAACGTTTCATAAACATTTTGGGCACATCATACAGAGACCACATTGCAAACAAAAAGGTTTGCCATAAAATTATACAGCACATTGGCAACTATGAACCTCTTTTAACTACAGTGAAAAGACGACACATGAAATAGTATGGACATGCAATAGGATCTAACAGCCTCTCAAAAACAGTACTGCAGGGCGCAGTTTAGGAAAAGAGAAGAAGAGGCAGACCAAGAAAGACTTGGTTACAGAACCTGACTGACTGGACAGGTCTCACGCATGCAACCATGACGTCCATCGCAACTGACCACCAAAGGTGCTGATCAGACAGTCAATAGAAACTGGTGACCCAATGACATATAGTGTTACGGGATGATGATGATGAACTCTCTGTGTGAGCTCCAGGGTCCATTATTTGGGAGAAAAAAAATAGATTCACTCACTTTTTTAGCATGTTCGCAGGCAACAGTCTTTGGGCAACAGTCTTTGGGCAACAGTCTTTTGGCAACAGTCTTTCCCTAGTGACCATTCTCTCAGGTAGCTTCTCTCTATAGCTTGCTGCATTTGGCCTCTTGCAAAGTGTGACAGTGCATCTTTCACTGTTTGTTTTCATAAAAGTCAGCCTACAGCTGATCTATCTCATGGGTTCTGTGTCAGTGTTAGCATCTTTCAGATCATGTTTGCAAATGTTCTTATTCTTCTAGTGTACCAATAGCCTTTATTTAGAGCAGTAGTTTTCAGCCTTCCTAATACCGCAAAGCTTTAATACAGTTCTTCATTTTGTGGTGACCCCCAACCATAAAATTATTTTAGTTCCTACTTCATAACTTCAGTGAATATGCTTTTTTCAATGGTCTTAGGCGACCACTGTTAAAGGGTCATTTGACCCCCAAAAGGTCTCTTGAACCCCAAAAGGTTGAGAACCGCTGCTTTAGAGCATGTAGCAATGGTAAACCACTGGTCACTGTTTTTCAGATGCCCCTGTTTATGTGTCGTTACCTCATTTTATTGGAGGAGATTCATACTATCAGTCACTGGTGAAAGGGCTAACACCTACACAGAGTCTACATCAGCCATTCTATGACATACAGCCAGTAAGTACCAAATAATTCTGCATCTATCAGTTCAGTAGCCCTGTTATACGGTATCCTACTATAGAGATTACACTGACATAAACAATACATTGCACAATTTATTGCCAGGCATATTTCGCTGTACCTCGTCAGGTGTGTTACATCTTAGTTACATCAAAATAAAATAAAACACAAAACTGAATAAATCCAACTGAAATGCGAATAATTTCTTCCGATACATCGTGTGTGTTTTATGGCCCCCCGGAAGCTCACTGTAGTCATGTGACTGTAAATTTGAAGTTAACCTGGTAAGCCAAAATTAATACATTTTTAACAAAATTTTATTATACATTTCTTTAAATATGCTGTTTAAAAATTTATTGTAACATGTTTGTTGCAGTGTTTATCATGCCTAATGTGATTACCGATTTCCATAAATCAGCTAACAGGTGTTTCCATGACAGCAGCCAGAAGATACCAGATAAACCTTCGGACTCAGAGCTTTGATCACTTCCTGTAAGTGTCAATTTTTTTTGGACTTTACAAACAACAGTTTCATCTACTGAAGTAAAAGAATTTAGCAGTAATATCTAATTCAAATCATTTGGGTTATAATTTGGATACATAGAGATTTTTCTTTTTCAGTAATAGATATTTCTGCCTGTTAAGCATTCATTTTGTTTTTAGTGTTGCAAAGCTTATGTAGTAATTTAGGAGGCATATTTTTTAAGTAAATCCTGGTATTAAATGTTTTCTACAAATTTATAAAAATGGTTCGTAATTCCGGTGACATAGAAGTCTGCCACCAGTGTCTTGAACCATTCACTAACGCCTGTCTGCAGTTTGTCATCAGTTTCAAACTGCTGGGATGCCAGCCACTTCTTTAGGTGCATGCAAAAGTGGTAATCACTTGGCGCTAGATTAGGGCTGTAGCGGGTGGTCAACAATTTTCCAGTTCAAGAAAATCAATAAACAAGACCCCTTTTTAATCCCAGAAAACAGTGGCCATGATCTTTCTGACAGAAGTTTCTTGCTTAAATTTCTTTGCTTTTTGGGACCATGAGTGTTACCATTGCGTCAATTGTTGCCTGGATTTGATGTCTGTGTAGGAAATCCAGGTGTCATCTTCGGTAACAATGTGCCCCAAAATTACATCTCCTTGATTTTGATAGCGCTGCAAATATTTTTTAGCCGAAGCCAATCGTTTCTGCTTGTGTTCATTGGTTAACATTTTCAGTACCCATCTGGACAATGCTTTTTTTGGATCCAAGGTTTTTAGTCACAATGTCGTAAATCATTGAATGTGAAACTTCTGAAAATTCTACAGGCAAGGTAGAAATTGTGAAACAACAATTTTCCTGGATTTTTTGGTTTACTTCTTTGACCAAATCATCTGTCACCACACTCGGTCAACTGCTACAGTCTTCATTATGAAAATTTGTTCATCCTTCTTTAAACAGTCGACACCATTTCCCAACCCTACTATCCATCATAACATCTGGCCCATAAACCTGAGTTGCCTGTGAACTTTTGCAGCACTGTTGTTTTTGCTAACCAAAAAAAAAACGGATCCCAGCACGAACCTCGCAGCTCGCAGGAGTATATATTTTTGCACTCATTAGAAATCACTCACACTCAGCATCAAACAAGATTACAACAGTAAAAAAAAATAGCACACAGCTAGCTAATGAACCACATAAACATAGTGTATATGCACATTTACATTTTCCATTGGTATTTGCCGGTACTTTCAAAACGGCCTTTTTTTTCAATAAAAATATTTCCATGGCGCCCTAACCTAAGTAAAAGTATGACTATTCGTGTCTTGGTTAAATTAATTATGAAGCTTTAACAGTATTTCGCGGCGCCCCTGTGAAGAGGTGGCGGCATCCCGGGTGCACAGTTTGGGAATCACTGGTGTATACTATACCACATTTATGTTACATTAAACAGACCAAATGGGTTATCCTGTCTGTTTCTGTTGTAAACTCACATTATCACTGTCTGTGTCTAAAGTTTGCTAGTACATGGTTTCACCTAATGTAATTAGCTGCAATGTGTGCTGAAATTTATTACTTTCCCGACAGAAAATTTCAAAACTTTCCTGTGTCTTATCTCCCAGTTCTGTGGATTGATGGTGTAAGTAAATTATTACTTTTAGTTTTATTTTCTTCACATTATCTGGATATGTCGGCGTATGTAGCTTAGGCGTTGCGAACGCGCTTTATAATGCCGGGGTGCCGTGTTCGATCCCATCTGCGAGCCTTGTGCCTTACGTTGGTTTCGACAGTGGTATCAAGAAGCCAACCGTCCAGAAAGCAGTGGCAAACTACTGGACGTAAACTTGCCTAGAAAAACCACAACAGCCAAAAAATGCTGGGGTTGGTTCTGCAATGTCTTGTAAAGGATAGGCAACTAGCTTATCTTGATATATTATTATGTCTAGTGAATTAAACTGCAACAAAAATATTAATTTTAAGGTTTATTTCTTTTAATTCACCTCATCTTGAGGACTCCGAGATTTTGTGGGGGGTTCCCAGAAAAATCCAATACTATTGATGCTTTATGGTGTGAAATGAACACCGACTAACACTAATCCTACTCTCTCCTATAATTTTACTTCTATGTACAATGTGATAAAACAACTAGGCTTGCAAGGAAATGAGCGCAAACAATCACTTAAACAATTGGGTAAGGCTGCAGAGAGGGCCTCGAGCTGGCTCTGGATACAACGGAACGTCGTGGGGGATGGGCCTTGGTGAGCTGGTCTGGATATCTAGTGGAAAAGAAAGTCTTATCCCTTAAAGTCCATTGTGTCCGAATTGTCTGCCGGAGTCCCTCAGCCATCTGCCAACAAAGTCTAACGTGTGTCCGATAAACCAACTGTAAGCTTGCCGTTTGGTCCTCCAGGTATGCTGACTGCTCTAATTATGCTACTGCAGCGACTATGTAAATAAACTTCAAATCTCACAGTACCTTTTTCACAGTCATCAATTTCGTCCTGTCCCTGTCCGAGAACATCCGGTAATACGTGCAGCAGGAGCAGATCAAACCTGAGCTTCATGAACTCAGGTGGGCCCACTCTCTGAAAATGTCTAGGAGCTCGTGGGCCGAAACATTTGTCGACGAGAGATTACTTCTACTGATGATTGGTAGACTCCTACTGTACTTGCTCCCCTGTGGAGTTTCTTCTCATTGGACTTCCTGGGAACTCCCCCTCAAAATCTTGGAGTGCCCGAGTTGGGGTGAACTAAAAGGAAAACCAAGGGAGAAATGGGTAGCTGAGTTGAGTTGAGTTGAGTTAAGTTGATTCAAGAACCAACATCAAAACACTAAGGTCATTCCCATAAGAGCTCCATCCCCATCTTCAGCAGCAAGTGAAGAGTTCTTATACTAATGGTGCCAGTAGCATTCTGATTAAACATCCGTCTTGCCTTTTCTCTGTGCCTTGAGCATCTGCCAGAACCTCTTGTCACTCTCCCCTGCATCAATCTCACAAGACTGTGGGGTCTAACTACTCCTCCAAACTGTACACGCTCTCCCAAAAGGTACTAACCACGCTGAAATCTGCAAAAAGATGAACAAATCCATCACTTAAGCCACCTGAGAAGCGCAAAACAAATACAGAAAACCACAACACTGGGTTACAACCTGGTATCAGTGAGACGACAAAAAAAGAAGAAGATACGTAACATTCAGTGCTTATTAGACATGCTATGAGAAGGAGTGGATGGGCAAGACATGAGCACTGACCTGGTTTATGGTTCTGGTGATCGTATGAGATCGTGTACATGATAACCTATGCTTTATTGGCATGGCACAGGATGACGATAATAAATAAAATCTTTCAGTCACATGTATGTTACTGTCAGCTCTTTTCTTCTTCTTCTTCTTCTTCTTCTTCTTCTTCTTCTTCTTCTTCTTCTTCTTCCTCTGAAGATGATGATGATGATTTACTGAGGAATCCCTACTATTCTCCATTGTATTTGAGGGAATTCTGAAGTTTAGAAACAAATCAAAATCTTAATAACAAAATGGCTGACACTTAAAATGTTAAGTACTCATACATTCATTTCTTCTTTGTGGGCTGCATAATCTTGTGGTACGGTGTCCGCCCCGAGTGCTAGAGGTCCCGGGTTCAGGCCCTGGGGAAGGCTGGGAGTTTTTTTGTTCATGTGGACTTCTAGTAATTTTCCTTGGTCTCTGGGTAGTGAGATCGGACACCCGTGTGTATTGTTGCGCACGTAAAAAAAATCCCTTTGGCAGCTGGAAATAGAAAAGAGTAGCCTAACGTCCGTGCCAGGGCACAATTTGGAATTAAAAATATACCCAAAGTATTTCAGGATCCTTGCTGGTGCTATGGAGCCCGTGCACTGAGCTACTTTGGATTCAGACTTAAAGTCGAGTAAGAAGTAGAACGGAGTACTTAGGGGTAACTACCTGTGTGTCATGATGTTGATCCGTTGTTCAAACCTCAAACCTCATTTCTTCTTTTTTTCTTCTACTTTTTCTTCTTCTCTAGACATTCTCCTCCTCATCCTCCTGCTTCTTCTTCTTTTTCTTCTTTTTCTTCTTCTTCTTCTTCTTCTTCTTCTTCTTCTTCTTCTTCTTCTTCTTCATCTTCTTCTTCTTCTTCTTCTTCTTCTTCTTCTTCTTCTTCTTCTTTTTCTTCTTCTTCTGTTTGTTTTTTCTTTCCCGGGTTCACCGGCTGTAAATTTGGCTGTCGATCATGGGACCGGTTTTCTTCCAGAACCTGAATTTTGCATGTACATCAAATTCGACGGATCTTTCTTATTTATATGAAGACTGTTGTTCTCTCATCTCTCAGGTAGTTGCACTCTGACTTTGAAGAAAACGTTCCTAATTAGTCAGCTCTCACAACATGCATGATAGGGGACAGTCAGTCTATTCTTGTTTACCACATGGTGGTGCTCTGGATCCCACACAAGGCTCCAGAACCCACACAGGGTTCTAGAACCCACACCAGGCCCCAGAACCCACACAGGGCTCCAGAACCCACATGGGGCTCCGGAACCCACACTGGTCTCTGGAACCCAGACGGGGGATCAGCTCTTCATTATTGCCATGTTTCACGTTATCTTATCAGTCAGTCTTATCTTGAATATCTTGAACTATTTCCAACATGTCAGGTAGCAGAAATAGATGAGGATACAGCTGTAATGTTTAAAGGAATGATTCAAGACCGCCTGGATACATTACCTTACATTCATGGGGCAATGTTTGCCATTGGTGGCTTGTTTCTGCTGATTAGCATGGGCCTTTTCATTTACTGGAAGAAAAAAAATGTAAAGGTAAGAGTAGTCTGGCTTTACTCAGAATCATTCATCATCATCGCCATCCCATTGATGTGCCATTATGGGTAAAAGTAACGTTGATCTCACCAGGGCCCACCCGTATACACACTAGCTCACTTCTGATTGATAGTTCCTGAACCTGTCGCCTTGGCACAAGGTTACGGGAGTGTTGCGCAATGCTGTTGATATCGCATGTTGTGTATTTCATTACACCAGTGCTTTTAACACTCCAAAAACATGGAGAAACTGGTCCTAACTCAACCCACTTAGAGAGTGCTGCAATCTGTGTCACAGGCATTCTCTTTCTTGGAATCAAAACATAAATGCAAGACATCACAGAAAGCAAACAACAGAGCGGGACACACCCATAACCTTCAGGAAAGTCAACCAGCCCAACAAATTTGTGAATGAAAAGTGACCTACTCTCTTTGGGGAGATTAACATGAACCTAACTCCATTACATATCACTTAGGGCTGGCTGTCTATTTTTCACATCGGCAATCAGGTCCCCCATTGGCTGGTCGGTAAACGATTTCATCCTCGCGCTAGACAGTATTTGGGTCTGTCTCCTTTGATTGCATCAACACTGTAAAAGTCTTTTTTCAGGGCTACTTGGTGGCGAGCAGTGTTAAGCCATTTAATATGGCTCAAATAAACTAGTCACAAATATAACCAAGCGCTCCTCCTTCACAGATGCTGGTTGAGCGTGATGATTTTTATTTTTTCGCAAAACAATTAGGGAAATTTACATCTGTGTAATCCTTTAAATATCATGGGTGGAAACCAGTGCAGTATCTTTGGCCTCTTTCATTAACATTCATTACAGGGTTTCCCTTCAATGTCCTCATTTCCTAAGTTCATTTGTTTCCCATTTTAGTGCCTGTTTTGGTGATTATCTGCTTGCGTCTTCTCATGATCTGCTCAAAATAGTAGTCTTCTTCATCTTATATCTGTTGATATCAGTGGTTGGCCAGACACATCTCTTATTTCTTCATCTCTCATGAATTTTCCCCACTAAATGTTTAACAGTTTTCCCGGCTAATTGTTTTTGAACATATTTAACTTTCCTTCCATGTCTTTGGTGGCTCTCCAGCTTTCACCATGTATGCAATAAATTCATTTTGTAAATAATTTATCATCTCATTATTATCATCATCATCCTTATCTTGTCTCATCATCGCCATCATATTCTTCATCTTCATCATCATGTTTTTTGCTGGTAAGTATGAAGTTTGTCATCTCACATGTGTATGATGTCTTGAATGATGTTTGTTTCCTTGTTTTGATTTCACAAATGTTGCAGAGTCATCTTCCATAATCATCTTGCACAACCTTCTGTCTCATGTACGGACAGTCATTCCAGATAAGATGTTTTTTAATTACATAATGACAGACCATCTAATGTTTTCTTTCTTGGTGTCCACCTGCCTCATTACATTTCTTAGTATGGGTCCCAAAAAATATGGTGCGACAAAAGTGCAGCCGGATGTACCAGTCACATACCACCAAAACAAAAGAATCATTAAATCGATCAGGAAACCACCAGCCCCAGCACAAGACGACTATTTTATAATGGACAGACCAGAACAAGTCATTATCCTCCGCCTCAGAACAGGGCACAACCGATTACGTAACCAAATGTACACAAAATTAAAGATAGGTGTATCAGCCATGAGCACCTGTGGAAAGGTGCCCCAGACAGCAGAGCATGTACTCCAGGACTGCACTGAATTTGAAACATTAAGGCACACCTTTTGGCCAGAAAGAACAACAGTGGAACGTAAACTCTATGGACCACTGAATGAACTAACAAGGACAGTGAAATTTATACAAGAGACAAAACTGCTGATATAGACAACTTATTTCAGGTGAATGAAAGAAGAAGAATGGGTTTCCTTCAGAATCGGAGTGCATCTGCCTGAGAGGCAAGGAACCAACAGTCTCCTTACAAACACACCAGATCTGTAAAATGGATGGTTATGCAAAACTTATGGAGAAAGACTAAAGTCCAGAGTTGGAGGAACAAATGAGAACTTTCTGCCAGAGTTCACAGCCGGTGAACATAATGAAGAAGAAATAAATATTCTTCACATTTTAAGAGTCAGCCATTTTGTTAATAAGGCTTTGATTTGTTTCTAAACTTCAGAATTCACTCAAATACAACGTAGTGAAAGACAGCGGGGATTCCTCAGTAAATCATCATGAAGGAAAAAATTATGGGACTTTCAGTCATCCCACAAACTCACAAACTGATGACTCAGTAGCAGTTCTTCACAGTTCATCACCACCTGGAGCTGATATCCCACAACTTGCTGATGAACCCCTGCCGTCTGCTTCAGCTGACACAACTGAACATGATTCCAGTGCCAATGACCAAAGTGTTTATTTTGATTCAAAGACATCTCCTGGTTCACAGCATTCAGAAGCGTATCACTCTATACAAGAAATCTAATGGGTTTTCCTTGCGGTTGTGTTTGTTTCTGAGCATACATTGTGCAATATTTTTAAGTTGCGTTAACTCTTTCAGTCCCAAGAAATGCACCAGACGTTCATAAGTACCTACTTAAAGGTCCAGTGAAGGCCAATTTTTCATTTCACATTAATATCCTTTGGACCTCTGACACTAAAACCCTGGGACTAAAAGAGTTAAATACTGCAGCCAATCAGTAGCTTGCATATATTTGTGCCTTGTATAATTTACTGTAATCTTGTAGAGCAGCAGTTCCCAGGTGATGCTCCATGAAGTAAAAAATGCTCTACATACGCTTCCCAGAGTCCTTCACGATAACTAATTTAAAAAATTAATTACTTAAATTTTCAGAAGCAAAAAAGTACAACAGACATGTTACTATTACATAACTGAAGGTTATATTATTCACATGACATGGATGCTTTTATTGGCTTTCAAGAAGGTAAATAAAGGACCTTTTCCACACCTTCAGACAAAGTGGACATATAATGTTTGACCTATATTTTATAGATCAACTGGCAATCAGTGTGGGATATGGTCAACATCACTCCGGCCACCTTTACTTCCCAGGACTGTACCTGATACCCATTTATGGCTAGGTCAACCTGGGAGCCAAGGGAAAGTTTAAAAAAAAAATTCAGCTCCATTTATATTTCAACAAAAGACTTTCAGATCCACAGTTCAGTATTATTAATTATTGACTTCATCAAATATAATTTAGACAAGATGATGGTTACAATTTTACATTTTAAAAATGTAAAATTTAAGTTTGTGTGTGTGTGCATGCGTGCGTAGGTGGGTGGGTGGGTGTGGGTGGGTGGGTGGGTGCATACGTGCGTGTGCGTGTGTGTGCATGCATAGGTGGGTGGGTGGGTGAGTGTGGTTGTGTGTGTGTGGGTGGGTGGGTGCGTGCATGTCTTAATAACATAGCTAACCTCATCATGCAAAAACTGCTGAAATAAATCCAGTGGAACTTTGTATATAACATGCATTGGTACCCACTTAGATTATAGACTACATGGTGTTCCCCAAAACTTGTCCATTGCTACCCACTTAGATTATAGACTACATGGTGTTCCCTTAACACTTGTACATTGGTACCCACTTAGATTATAGACTACATGGTGTTCCCTTAACACTTGTGCATTGGTACCCACTTAGATTATAGACTACATGGTGTTCCCTTAACACTTGTGCATTGGTACCCACTTAGATTATAGACTACATGGTGTTCCCTTAACACTTGTGCATTGGTACCCACTTAAATTATAGACTACATGGTGTTCCCTTAACATTTGTGCATTGGTACCCACTTAGATTATAGACTACATGGTGTTCCTCTAACAATTGTGCATTGGTACCCACTTAAAATTATAGACTACATGGTGTTTCCCTCAACACTTGTGCATTGGTACCCACTTAAAATTATAGACTACATGGTGTTCGCTTAACACTTGTACATTGGTACCCACTTAGATTATAGACTACATGGTGTTCCCCAAAACTTGTGCATTGGTACCCACTTAGATTATAGACTACATGGTGTTCCCCTAACAATTGTGCATTGGTACCCACTTAGATTATAGACTACATGGTGTTCCCCAAAACTTGTCCATTGCTACCCACTTAGATTATAGACTACATGGTGTTCCCTTAACACTTGTACATTGGTACCCACTTAGATTATAGACTACATGGTGTTCCCCTAACAATTGTGCATTGGTACCCACTTAGATTATAGACTACATGGTGTTCATCTAACAATTGTGCATTGGTACCCACTTAGATTATAGACTACATGGTGTTCCCCTAACACTTGTGTATTGGTACCCACTTAGATTATAGACTACATGGTGTTCCCCAAAACTTGTGCATTGGTACCCACTTAGATTATAGACTACATGGTGTTCCCCTAACAATTGTGCATTGGTACCCACTTAGATTATAGACTACATGGTGTTCCCCAAAACTTGTGCATTGGTACCCACTTAGATTATAGACTACATGGTGTTCCCCTAACAATTGTGCATTGGTACCCACTTAGATTATAGACTACATGGTGTTCCCCTAACAATTGTGCATTGGTACCCACTTAGATTATAGACTACATGGTGTTCCCCAAAACTTGTGCATTGGTACCCACTTAGATTATAGACTACATGGTGTTCCCCAAAACTTGTGCATTGGTACCCACTTAGATTATAGACTACATGGTGTTCCCCTAACAATTGTGCATTGGTACCCACTTAGATTATAGACTACATGGTGTTCCCCAAAACTTGTGCATTGGTACCCACTTAGATTATAGACTACATGGTGTTCCCCTAACAATTGTGCATTGGTACCCACTTAGATTATAGACTACATGGTGTTCCCCTAACAATTGTGCATTGGTACCCACTTAGATTATAGACTACATAGTGTTCCACAAAACTTGTGCATTGGTACCCACTTAGATTATAGACTACATGGTGTTCCCCAAAACTTGTGCATTGGTACCCACTTAGATTATAGACTACATGGTGTTCCCCAAAACTTGTGCATTGGTACCCACTTAGATTATAGACTACATGGTGTTCCCCTAACAATTGTGCATTGGTACCCACTTAGATTATAGACTACATGGTGTTCCCCAAAACTTGTGCATTGGTACCCACTTAGATTATAGACTACATGGTGTTCCCCAAAACTTGTGCATTGGTACCCACTTAGATTATAGACTACATGGTGTTCCCCTAACACTTGTGCATTGGTACCCACTTAGATTATAGACTACATGGTGTTCCCCTAACACTTGTGCATTGGTACCCACTTAGATTATTGACTACATGGTGTTCCCCTAACACTAGTGCATTGGTACCCACTTAGATTACAGACTACATGGTGTTCCCCTAACACTTGTGCATTGGTACCCACTTAGATTATAGACTACATGGTGTTCCCCTAACACTTGTGTATTGGTACCCACTTAGATTATAGACTACATGGTGTTCCCCTAACATTTGTGCATCAGTACCCACTTAGATTATAGACTACATGGTGTTTCCCTTAACACTTGTACATTGGTACCCACTTAGATTATAGACTACATGGTGTTCGCTTAACACTTGTACATTGGTACCCACTTAGATTATAGACTACATGGTGTTTCCTTAACAATTGTGGATGGGTGGTTATAAGGGGATGTATTCTTTACAGAAGTGACATTTCGGCATCTGTGGCTTAGGTGATGTGAAATCACTTTGTAATGCCGGGGTGCCGGGTTCCATCCCAGCTGCTGACCGTTCGTCTTACATTGGTTTTGAAAAGTTAACAAGAGCTGACCTTTCAGATTGCAATAGCACACTACTGGACGTAAAATTTGCCTAGAAAAACCACAACAGTAAAAAAATGCCGGGGTTGGTTCCGCAACATCTTTTAAAGGGGACGCAATAAACTTTTATTCTTCACAGGTTATTGCAGAAACAAGCGCAACAATTGTTAGCTGTTGTCATTTTTCTTGGCAAATTTTACCTTCAGAAGTTTGCCATTTCTTGCTGAATGGTCCAGCTCTCAGTACCATTGAGGAAACCAATGCAAGACAATCTGCTGCTAAATCACTTGCAGGTAGGATCGAATCTGGGATCTCAGATTTACAATGCTCATTCACAACAACTTAACCACAGAGGCTGACTTATAAGAGGGCCAAAGTAAAAAATCAAAATTTCTTGCTACACATTGCTTTTTTAAAAAGGAAAAGTTACATAACAGAAGTTACTTAAAATAATTATTGTTGTTGTTATTGAACAAACAGGATGACTGTTTTACAAGAAATGTCTTATTTTAAATTCGAGGTGAATTAAGTTCACAAGAAGAGTAAATAATGCAATGACATGCGAGCATTATAGTCCTATGTCATGTGTGCCAAAAAAAACAACAACAGAAAGTTGAATAGTTGGATCGATGGATGGGTGGGTGGGTCGATGGATAGATGGAGGGAGGAAGAGAAGGTGACATTTATATTTAAATAAAAAAGTTTTTTTTTTAAACTGATTAAAAAACAATTAAAATATTGCCTTTTTTTAAATTTAAAAAATACTTATAAAAATATTAATAAAAGCATTGCACAATTAATGCACTAACAAACCAAAAAAAAAAAACACACACACACAAATATTTCTTTCATAGAGTTGAATGGACACGGAAGATTAAATAATTCTTTTTACAACATTCATCTACAGTTTTAATATCACAACTAACAAAAGCAGAGGGCCTCTTGTTCCATTTCCTACCAACACATGGGGGAATAAAATATTTCATCATTTGCAAGAATTCTTATCTGTGCAGATGTATGCAATGATGATGCAAAAGCATGATAACACAAGAATACACAAAATCACTTAGCTGACATATTCCCGATAGAAGTCACATTGTTGTCTGGCCAGTGAAATATTTCATTCCATTATTTTTACTAGTCACTTCTGGCAAATTTATGTGGTTGCATGAGGTGAATTTTTCAGTGTAAAGTTTGTTAGAAGAAATGTTCTTCACTTTAATCATGTGAATCATGTAACTAAATTCATCATCATCATCCTTGACTTCTATTTTTGCCGTTACATGCCATAGGAAGATTATACTTAGTGGGTAGTACTGGCTGGCTTTTGTCATTCTATGTGAGATGCATAATGTC